AAGTCACTGGGTTCCACAGGGACGGAGACCAAACACATGCAAGTTTGGGGGTTGCTAGATTATGTCCAGAGGGGAGATGTGTACCTCAGCAGAGGGGTGGGAAGGAGGCACAAGGGCCAAAAACATCCACTTGGAGACTTAGGAAGAGAGAGGAGTGGAGGTGGTATTGATCCCTGAAATGAAAACTGATGTCTTCAGATCCACTGTAATAAAGACAGAAACTAAAGCTGAGCCATAGGCTACAACTGATCTGACAGTAAGTTAGGGGAAAGGACACAGAGAGATTTGAACATTCGTCCACTAAACACATGCTAGAATTCATGATACATTGATTCCAAGTAAAAAATGTTCAGTAATTAATAAAAAGCAGAGGGATCTACAGTAGGAACTGAAACAGATCTCCCAAATGGGTTTCAGTTTTGAAGGAGGGTCTCTGGCATTCTCATCTTCATATGACTGGATTATGGGTGTCACAAAAGAAAACAGTATTTCACAGACTTGAGGTGTAAAAAGTCCCTGGATTCTCTAAGCAGTCAGGGACTCCACTGCTGTTAAGAAATGTTTGTTGAGTGGGCGCCTGGGTGGCTCAGTTGGTTAATTGATTGCCTTCAGCTCGGGTCATGATCCTGGAGTCCCGGGATCGAGTCCCGCATCGGGCTCCCTGCTCGGCGGGGAGTCTGCTTCTCCCTCTGACCCTCCCCCCTCTCATGTGCTCTTTCTCTCTCACTGTCTCTCAAATAAATAAATAAAATCTTTAAAAAAAAAAAGAAATGTTTGTTGAGTAAAACTGAGTTGGAGCAGGCTGTCACGGAAGTGAAAAAGAACATTCCTCAACAATCTGCTTTTACGCAGTTTCCTGACTTTAACGGGCCGACAAGAAACTAGTTTTTCTCCCTCAGAACACAATTCACATCTACAAATACCTTATCTTATAAGGGATGTGGCTTACTCAATTTCAAGAACTTCGTTTTTTAAGATAAACATTCTTGCGGCACCTGGGTGGCTCAGCGGGTTGAGGATCTACCTTCGGCTCAGGTCATGATCCCGGGGTCCTGAGATTGAGCCCCATGCCAGGTTCCTTGCTCAGCGGGGAGTCTGCTTCTCCCTCTCCCTCTACTCCTCCCCCTGCTAATGCTCTGTCTCTTTCACTCTCAAATAAATAAATAAAATCTTTTAAAAACTTAAAAAATTTTTTTCATATTGTTTTCCCTTCAGTAAAACAGAACTGAATTTAGTTGCTTCAGAATCTAAGAATGATTAACATGTGCTTTGAGAAACAAAATAACAGCACAGAGGTAACACTAAGATGAAAAAGAATATTCTTAACTTTTACAAGAAAGGAAACGTTAGATGTTATTTTGCTACAAACTAATTACTGGAAAGAGGAGCATCGGGGCCATAGCTACATTTGCTCACGTCTCACTGAGATTTAAACAAACAAAAAAAACGGCCAGTAACATCCTCACCAAGCAGAAGGGGCGCAGGCCCGGCCCACCAGGCAGCGCTTCCTGCAGCCTCGGTGCCACGTGCGAGGTGGAGGCGGCGGCAGGAAAAGGAGCAGGTGACAACGGCTCCTTTGGAGAGTGCCAAGTTTCAGACTTGTTGCATTTAGAATTGAAATTGTCAATTTTTACTTAAAAAAATAAAACTCTCAGTGTTCGAAGTGACGAAGGCTGCCACGTCCTACAGGCAGAGGAGAGGAAAAAACAAAACTAAGGACACAAAGAGCCGGCGAACGTCCGCAAGCCTCTCCCCGGGTCGGGAGAGCCGATTCCTAACCCCGCCCCCACCTCCCGGGACCGGCAGGTGTGGACGCACGCGGCGTGCTGACGTCCGGCCATTTCCTTAGTGCCGCCTCCTCGGCCCTGCAAACGCCGCTCTGCGCGCCTGCCCGGGCCGACCTCCGCCTTCCGGCCGCGAAGTGCAAGCGCGCGAGCGCGCGGCTCCGCTCGCTCTATGGCGGCCGCCCGTGCGGGGCCGGCTGAGCTGGGCTTCGTGGAGGCGGCGCCGGCGTGGCGGCTGCGCCGCGAGCAGTTCCCCAGCAAGGTGGGCGGGCGGCCGGCGTGGCTGGGCGCGGCCGGGCTGCCGCGGCCCGAGGAGCTGGCCTGCGCCCTGTGCGGCCGCCCGCTGGCCTTCCTGCTGCAGCTGTACGCGCCGCTGCCCGACCGTGCCGACGCCTTCCACCGCGGCCTCTTCGTCTTCTGCTGCCGGGCGCCGCCGTGCTGTGCGGGCCTGCGCGGTGAGCGGCCGCCGCGCCTGGGGCCCGTGGGGG